GAAGCATTAAATAAACTAGGGATTCATGCAAGTCTCATTTGGTCCCAATCTTTATAAGTCTATGAAAGTGTGCACCAAAGACTCTCTAAATCCTATTTGAGAGAAAGATAAAATGTTCATACCCTTGGAGCGAATCTTGAAACCAAGAATGGTGTTCAAGTAGAGGGAGTGGTCTCTTTGTTGTTGGCTCTACCTTTGATGTTGATTCTCCACCTTGTAGCTCTCCAAATAGGTACAAAGATATGCACCTCCCCAAAGCTTTTCACCAAGGATTGAATTGTTTTGTTTTCCTATTTAGATCGGTGCACTAGATACTAAGTTATATCAGGTTTTGATAAGAGTTTAAATTAAGTTGTACCTTGAGGCCCAAAACCTTGTGAAATAACGAAGGGTTTTGAGGCCTATTAAGGGGTCCTATTTATTTCTTTTTATGCCCAAACCGATCTGGTGGGCTTGGAAGATTAGTCAAGTCGGCCCTTGGTGATGAGTAAAGATGGCTTGACCTAGCCCTATATAAGTTTAAGGCCCTTCTCTCATCAGACACGTTCTCTAAACCTATTCTCATCATAAAGAGAGAGCTGAAACAGATTCTGAGAGAGAGCAGAAGTCTTTGAGCTGTTCCTGTTCTTGCTAGGATTTCTGCTGCTACGGAGTGATGAGTTCAGAGGCTGTGTACTCAAGGAAGATGGCTCCAGGTATGTCTTCATGTCTTTATACGTATTACAGTTTTGTGTGAAAGATCTAGATTGTGTATAAAGAAATCTAACATGAATGGGATGAGAGACTGAGCAGACAACAAGTGAAGAGTGGTAGACAACAAAGAAATCTAACTTGATGTGATAGATTGAAGGGGTTAGGGAGAGAGAGCTTGATGTTTTCTCTCTTCCAACTTCACCAACTTGAAAACCCTAGGATGATAGGATTCCATAGCTACACACTTATAGGATCAAAAATGTTACAAGAGCGACAAAATTGCCCCTAAACCTACCCTCCCTCTCTTTTGTGTGTCATCTTTTGCTATCTTGGTCCAACACATTAATCCTATAATGTGTCACATATGTGCATAAGTCCATAAGGTCAAATCCATTTTGAATTTCCAAGTCCTATGGGACCTTTAATTAAAGTTTCATAACTTAAATTGAATAATTAAATTAATCTAATCAATTTAATTACTCTAGTGACTTGACTAATTCAATCACTCACTTGTCTAACGAGCGTTGGTCCCGGTCATCCTTAGTTGACCGTGTCAAGTGTTGGGTCAACCATTTGATCTTTGACCTTTGACTTTTGACTTTTGCCTTTGGCTTTCACATTGACTTTGACCAAGTCACAAAATCATTCATTCGGTGTGCAATCTTATAGGTTCTAATTAGCGAGGCAGTGGGTATGAATGATTCACTCTGAATCAAGTGTGAATTGTATCCCTCCATACAATTCTCCCTATTGGCGAAGGCTAATTATAATTAGTCCTTACAGGGCTTCCACAAGCCATGAGTGACACCTAGCAGTATCTCATGGCTACCCCAGCTAAAAAGAATTCATTTAGAGAACCTAGTCAATTTGTGATTACATTGCAATTCGATCATTCTCTAATTCAATACTCTATGTCATATTCTTGGGATATGGTAAACTTGTGTCAAAATCCCTAAATGACATCTCTAGATTATATGATTCAATTTGATGAAATTACAAACGTTCTTGTTTCAATTTCCATCCAATACTTTGGCCAGAGATTCACGAATCATATCTTTAGAGTATTATCTCTTCTTACTAAGAGCAGAGATTCCTTGTTGTACATTCACCTGTCTCTGCGTACACATTGAGAATCCTGAGGAACACCTTGAAGTCACATCATTTTGATACGACCGTATAGTGCTCTCAAAGAGAAACAACATATACACAAGACAACTGTGATGTCTCAGGCCTAAGGATTAATTTGCATTATCACAACTTAGAATTCTTTGTTTGACACTTGTGAGTAAGACTTCCATACAAGAATTCTAGAGTTGATCGCGTTCAGTGGACTCCATCTTCTATAGAGCACCCACACATCTATCTTAGTGTCTCTACACAAATGACTTGAGACTAGTCATCCTCCCAATTGAGCAGACATAATGTGTTCCAGTCTTTGCGAGTCACCATTGTCCAATTGGTGATCCTATGACTAGGAACATTTTAGGATACGATATTTATATGTATGGAAAGGTCTCATGCATCTAACTTCTTTAGACCACTTTTCATTTATATCTTAATCCATGGACTTGTTACTTTGTGTACGTTATGTATCTAAAGCAATGTTCTTGCCCCTTTGATTATTATATATTATTTCCTTAGAATTATCTATTTTATATTGGCTTCTAGGGCATATATCTAACAGTCGAAACAATTGAAACTTTTTCAAGTCGGAGCATCTGAAACTTCCAAAGTAGGTTCATATGAAACGTTCGAAATTAAAACATCTGAGGCTTTTGAAGTCACAACATCTAAGACTTTTGAAGTTGGGTTCAAAACTTCTGGAGGTTTATTTGCACATAGTGAAAATCATATAAGAAAGCAATCAAAGATATTGAGCTCAATACGAAATATTCTTAAGGAGAAGAGAATCAAATCATCATATTTGCAATATGAAAATCTCCATCAATCCCACCCCACGGATTTTTGGGGCCTCAGAAGGAAAGATTTTTTAACGAAGTTGACTTCTAGTCATTTAATGGCTAGCCTATGGGCTGATGATCACCTTATAAATACCTTGCTAGATGAAAAGCAAAGGAGATCCGACATAGGGGCAAAACAATACATTTTCGGTAGTAAATTCAAAAAATAAATAAATGTTCAACAAGAAGTAAATTCGTAGTTTCCATTCACTTACATAACATATTGAAATTGGCTTTTTATAACAAAATGTCCTTGAGGTTCATAAAACTATTAGGTTTCATCCATTTTGTTTTTGTTTTTGTTTTCTCTCATTCATGGCCTTAATATTAACATGCATGTTCACAAGTAGTCCCTATCGTGAGCTTCAGTTAAAAAATCTGTTAGTTTACTGATGTGACACATATGTGGAGCCCACATATTCAATAGGGAGTTTCACATTCATTCCACAGAGGCCTGAAATAGTAGAAAACTCAACCCCATAGAAATTGTAGAAAAAAACCGCCAGTGGAACATTAGCGGCATGAATGTTCCATTGGTGGTTTTTTTTTTCTTTGTCTCTTGGAGTACTAGAGCGAGCGAGAAACCCCTCATTGTTTCTTAGAACTCCAAGAGACTAAGCTAGAACCAAGATAGAGACAATAACCACCAGTGGAGCGGTGGTCATCAGCATCCCTAGCGTCGGTGTATGCAGTAATAGTGAGGACACTCGACCTATAGAATAGGCCATGAGTAGAGGTGCCTTGGTGATAATGCAAAATACGCTTCACGGCTAACTAATGAGTCGAAGTGGGCTTGTGCATGAACTGGCAGACTTGGTTGACTGCAAAAGCAATGTCAGGACGGGTGAGAGTGAGATATTAGAGGGCACCAATGATGCTACGAAATTCGATGTAATCAGCCAGAGGTTCTCCTTCATGCAAATTGAGATGACGACAACTTATAGCTAGGGAAGACATGGGCTTGGACTCAAGAATATTGGTGCGACGGAGCAAAACAAGGATATACTTAGTTTGGATGAGAGATAAGCCGGCAGGGGTGTGAGCTACCTCCATTCTCGAAAAATAATGAACAGGGCCCAAGTCCTTCATGGAGAATAAGTGACCTAAGTTCGTAATGAGGCGAGTAATATGGCCAGGGTCATTGCCTGTAATAAGAATATCGTCAACATAGATTAATAAATAAAGATGAACTTGGTCATCAATAAAAATAAATAAGGAGGAGTCCACAGCAGAAGTGGTAAAGCCCAAATGCTCGAAGTGAGTACAAAAACAGTGAAACTAGGCGTAGGGAGCTTGCTTGAGCCCATAAAGAGAATGTTTTAATTGGCAGACATGATGAGGAGACTGGGGGTCCACAAAACTAGTGGGCTGCTTCATAAACACATCTTCGGAGAGATACTCATAAAGAAAGGCATTCTGAACATCCAACTGAATCACAACCCAATTAAATTGGACAGAGAGTGCCAAGATAAGGCGAATGGTAGAGTGATTTACAACAGGGCTAAAAGTTTCACCATAGTCCATGCCCTCTTGCTGATGAAACCCATTAGCCACCAGATGAGCTTTGTAATGTTGAATCGACCCATCAGAATTGTGTTTAATATGAAAAACCCATTTATTTGGCAAAATCTTCATGTGAGAAGTGGGTGGCACCAACACCCACGTGCCAGCACATTGCAAGGCATTGAACTCATCCGCCATAGCACGCCGCCATTCAATCTGTGTATTAGATTGACTGAAAGAAGTAGGCTCAATAAGAGCATTAGTAGAATCCGCAAATAAAGCATGATGAGCATAACGAGGGTTAGGTTTATGAATACCATCTTTAGCACGAGTAACCATGGAATGAGGAACCGAGGGATCAGTTGGAGGAGAAAAAGTGTACTAAATCTGGAGATCTCGAAGATATGTGAGAGTGGTGGTGGTGGGCCGAGATGGAGCTGAGCTAGGACATGGCGGATTTGGTGAGGCAGGGGCAGGCATGGGTCGGGCAGAAAGTAGGCCAGTAACAAGAAGAGGTGGAACGTGGACTGAAGGTTGGGAGAACCGATTTAAAGCCTATAGTGAAACAGTCTCATGGAAGGGGAAATTGTTTTCATCAAAGACAACATGTTGAGAAAGAAAGACTCTTTGTGTTGATAAATGTAAGCACCGATAACCTTTTTGATTAAGTGAATAGTCTAAGAAAACACATTTGGCGGAGTGAAACTGAAGCTTAGTGGAATTATAAGGACGAAGATAGGGAAAGCATGCACAACCAAAAGTTTTCATAATGTGATATTTAGGATCTTTATTAAATAGAAAGTGATAGGGAGAAGTATAATGCAAAATTTTGGATGGGAGATGATTAATTAGATAGATAACAGTGTGCAGGGCCTCAACCCAATAAGAGGCCATTATTTCCAACACGGAACGCACCACAGGAACCGACTGCGGGCATTGTTCACTTGAGGAGCCATGTGTAATCATTTTCCTCTTTTTTGTTTTTATGTTTTTATCGAATTCCTCTTTTTTGTTTTGCCTTGAATAATCTATTAAAAAAATTAAATTGGAAATGAAAGAAAATAACAAAAAAAAAGAAGACATTAATTGAATAAAACAACAATTAGAAATTTTTGATCTCGTCGCCACGATTTTGACCGCTTTGAATGTTTGTCCACGACCCTCTGGCTTCGATGGAAGAGGACATTTGTATTTTTACACAAATGAAATTGAGTAGTAGAAAATTTGGTGTGGAAAGTGAATACTATTGGAAGGAGAAGAATTAGTACGAAGATTTGGTGTGGAAAGTGAATAATATTGGTTGGTATTTATAGAATAAAAAAATTAAGAATTTTTTGGTATTTTTTACAAATTTTTTCAATCTTTTTTTCAATTTTTTGGCCATTGGATTGAAGCACAAACTCTAGATCGAACCCTCCAGGAGTCGCCACGCGGCTTAGAGCCACTGGCGTCAATGCAAGTTTTTCAATTTTTTTAACGTAATTCACGAGCCAACAGTAGAAAAAAAAAAAATTTAATTATTGCCTTGAGGCCAATGTGGCATCAGCGATTACGTAAGCTGCCCGAAGGCAGCAGCTCGGGCCATTTCTCCCCGTGGGCTTTCCAGGGTTGGTGGGCTCCACACCTTGCCCGGGCTTGCTGTTATGTGCTGGAATGTCTTGCTGTTGCGTGTTGGAACGTCCTCGCAGGGCCTACCCAGAAATTGTCAATGCGTGGTTGCAGACTCTCTTTCTTTTAGCTTGAAAACAATGCATCATTAAAGCGGCAAAACATCACTTTTAAGACTCAGAAATTGTCAAACAACCATAACCATAGAATACAAATTCTCCAAAACCCCTTTAATGTAGCCAAATTGTAAACGACATTATTAGGTCTAAAGAGGGGGCCTCCACGGTGAGAGGACCTCCTTGTTTCAAAGCTTGCAATCAATAGAAGCACTTTGCCCCTGCTGCTAGCAAAAGGAACCGCGTTGAAAAAGTTAGAAAGATTTTTACGTCCTTTTCTTCTTCCAACTGTCGCAAATGGCTTGTCGCATTATGCGTCAGATTGACAATATCCATGCCTAATCTCAACATTAATTGATGTCCTATTCATTTTGCATGGCTCAACCCTCATAAAAAACCTTGAGGAATATATAGTATGAAAGAAAAAGAAGACACATTATATATGAGAACTGTTGGGGGAATGATCACAAAACTGAAGAATAAGATGAAAATATAAAGTAAGGTAGAGAGTGTTTGTAAAACAGAGAATTATTCAAACAGATTTTTATTAACTTCTTCGATACAACAGCAGCCTATAACATTGACTATTTATAATTACATTTACATCTTTACATGATAAGACACAACTCTTGAATTAATTCCAAGAGATACAGATACAACTTTTGATATCTAAAAGATACAACTTCTCATATAGTCAAGAGATACAACTCTTCATAAGAAACCTGTAGGAAAAGATACAACTAATATGCATTACTTTTAACACTCCCCTTAATGCATTTGTCCTGCACACTTAATTTATCTCGGAAGAAATAAAACTTCTCTCTAGGAAGTCCTTTGGTGAAAACATCTGCAATCTGTTCATCAGTGCCACAAAACTTTAATTCGATCTCTTTGTCTTCAACCAATTTTCTGATAAAATGATGACGAAGCTCAATGTGTTTTGACCTGCTATGAAAAACGGGATTCTTTGTCATTGCAATTGTGGACATGTTATCACAATAAATATTAGTTGGTGATTTTTGAACTTGATGAAGATCTGCCAGAATTCTTCGTAACCAAACTGCTTCACATGCTGTACTTGTGGTTGAAATGTATTCGGCTTCTGCTGATGATAGTGCCACAGTACTTTGCTTCTTTGATGACCATGATAAAGCTTTGTTTCCTAAGAAAAACACATGTCCAGAGGTGCTCTTTCTATCATCAATTGCACCTGCCCAGTCACTGTCTGTGTAGCCAACCAACTGTGCTTCCTTCGCTTGTGTATATCTAATACCATCTCCCTTGGTTCCTTGTATATATATACCTGAGTATTCTTTTTACTGCAACAAAATGGTGATTACTTGGATCACTCATGAATCTAGATACCACACTTACGGCATGAACAATATCTGGCCTTGTATTTGTAAGATAAATTAATGAACCAACCACACTTCTATATATGGATGCATCAAACTTAGGTGCTCCATCGTTACTTGTAAGCTTCAAATTAATTGCCATTGGAGTATCCATTGGTTTGCTCTTCAACATATTGAATTTTTTCAACAGATTTTCAGCATATTTCTCTTGAGAAATAAATATCCCATCATTTGATTGTTGAACCTGTATACCAAGAAAATATCTCATAGCGCCCAAATCTGTCATCTCATATTCCTTCATCATGTTCTTCTTGAAAACTTCTGCTAACCTTGGATTTGTGCTTGTATAAATCAAATCATCAACATAGAGGCACAAAATCAGAAAATCATGTGTACCTTCTTTCTTGAGATAAAGTGATGGCTCACTTAAGCTTCTTGTAAATCCATTTTGCTGAAAATAGTGATCAATTTTGTTGTTCCAGGCTCTTGGCGCTTGCTTTAAGCCATATAAAGCTTTACGGAGGCGATAAACTTTATCTTCCCTCCCTTTCTCAACATAACCTTGAGGTTGCTCCACATAAACCTCTTCTTCAAGTTCTCCATTTAAAAACGCAGATTTGACATCCAATTGATAAACCTTTGTCTTCAGTTGTGCAGCCAAAGCCAAAACAGTTCTTATAGTCTCCATTCAAACTACCGGAGCAAACGTCTCATTAAAATCAATTCCTGGTTGTTGAGAATATCCTTTTGCAACTAAGCGAGCCTTATGCTTTTGGATTGAGCCATCTTCATTAAACTTAGTCTTGTAGACCCATTTAAGTCCAATGATATCTTTTGATTTGGGTCGATCAACAAGTTCCCATGTTCTATTTTTCTTGATAACTCTTATTTCTTCTTCCATTGCGTCTTGCCAATTTTTTTCTTTCACTGCTTCCTCAAATTTTTGAGGCTCCAAAGCACTCAAGGAAAGATCACAACACTCATATATGTCTGCCAATGAACGCGTTCTTGCGTTTAGTTTAGGAGTTGAATCTGGTGAACTAGTATCAGATGTTCTTGCACTTGGAATTGGACTTTGGGGCATCAGAGATTCTTCTAAATGTGATGAATCTGGTTCCTCAAAAAATCTTGGCACTTCAATATCATCATTCTCCCATTTCCAAGCTTTGAGTTCATAAAAAATAACATCTCTAGAAATTACCAAACTATTGGTTCTTGGATCAATTAATCTGTATGCTTTGGACTGATCACTATATCCCACAAAAATGTATTTCTCACCTTTCTCATCAAATTTTTCTCTCTTTTGAGAAGGGATATGTGCATATGCAATGCTGCCAAAGATCTTGAAGAAATCCACCTTTGGTTTAAAATGATGCCATGCTTCAAAAGGAGTCTTATCTTTAACTACCTTGGTTGGAGACCGATTAAGAATAAACACTGCTGTATGAATTGCTTCAGCCCAAAATGCATTTGGCAGACCCTTTGCCTTCAACATGCTTCTTCCCATCTCGACAATGGTTCGATTTCTTCGTTCTGCAACTCCATTTTGCTGTGGGGGTTACCTTGCTGTCAACTCTCTTTTAATACCATTGCTTTTGCAATATTCAGAAAATTCATTTGATGTAAACTCTCCACCATGATCTGTTCTTAACACCTTCATATTGTGACCACTCTGATTTTGTAAGATCCCACTTTGACCAACGGAGAGGGGGTTAATGTGCCTTATATATACATGCCCGCATCAATCTAGCACGAGGCCTTTTGGGAGCTCACTGGCTTCGGAGTTGTAGGAACTCCGAAGTTAAGCGAGTTGGGGGCGAGAGCAATCCCAGGATGGGTGACCCACTGGGAAGTTGGTCGTGAGCTCCCACCTTTTGTTATTGAAGGATGGTGTACGAGTTGGTCTGCAAATATCTGCATGTACCAATTCAAGAGGGGCATTTGCTCTCCAAGAAGATTGTGAGAATGGTAACCGATGGAATTTTCCAAAAATACAGCCTTCACATATTTCCTTTTCAGAGTGAATAGACGGAAGTCCAACCACCATATTTTTCTGGTGTAACTGCTGCAAGCTTCTTTGATTTAAATGCCCATATCTTAGATGCCATAACAACGATCCATCAACTTTCTCCGCTTCCAAAGCAAAGTTTTCCTTTGATGTCATCAACAGCGGAAAGACTTTGTTTGTTGTCATTTTTATCTTTGCCACCAGAGTATTATTCTTTTTATCAGAAATAACACAATAATCATCTTCAAATTT